ATAATGCCTACATGCTGGATAGGGAGACATCTATTTCCACTGGCAGTGGTATGTGGGCAAGTTTGTCAATCTACAGGATTTAAAAGACAAATGCAGAAAAGCTAATTATAATATATCTATGCTAGGGGATACACTATGAAAGTGTAATCTATGACAAATGGCTGTGGCGTACAGACTGTAGTTAATGTCGGTGAATAAAGTTGGTACAAATTTAAGATTCTACAACTTGGGCAGTGCCTATGGCTCAGTGAGTAGGGTGCCAGCCCCATATACTGAGGGTGGCGGGCGCCTGTAGTCCCAGCTGCTTGCGAAGCCGAGGCAAGACAATTACCTAAGTCCAAGAGCTGGAGATTGCTGTGAGCTGTGATGCTAATAGCACTCTAGTGAAGGTGACAAAGTAAGACTCTGTCTCTAAAACAAAAAAAAGATTTTACAACTTTAGGATGTCATATTTAGTCCCCAAGGTAACCACAAAGAAAATGACAACAGAGGCTCGGCACCTGTAGTACAGTGGTTATGTACACCGAGGCTGGCAGGTTCGAACCCGGCCTGGACCAGCTAAATGACAATGACAACCACAACAAGAAAATAGCCAGGCGTTGTGGTGGGCGCCTGTAGTCCCAGCTACTGGGAGGCTGAGGCAAGAGAATCGCTTAAGCCCAAGAGTTTGAGGTTGCTGTGAGCTGTGACGCCACGGCACTCTACCAAGGGCGACAATAAGACTCTGTCTCAAAAAAAAAAAAGACAACAATATATAAGAAAGGGAATAAAAATATGTCATGACAACAGAGAGAGGCAACAATGAAGGAAATGAGAGGAAGCCTCAAGACACATTTGCCATTTCCATGTTTCTCTTTAACTCCATTCAAAACGCACAGAAAGCGGGCAGCGCCTGTGGCTCAAGGAGTAGAGCCCTGGCCCCATATACCAGAGGTGGCAGGCTGAAACCCGGCCCTGGCCAAAAACTGAAAACAAAACAAAACAAAAAAACAAAAGGCACAGAAAGGTGAACAAGTAGAAAAACAAACAGGATCACGCTGTCAGTTGCCCATCTAAAGATGCAAGGTTGAAAAGAAGGGAAGGAAAAAGAGATTCTATGCAAACAACCAAAAGAAAGCTGGGGTGGCTGTACTAATAATCACAGGAGACCAAGAAGCAGATGACATGTTGACAAAAGGGTTAGTTCACCAACATATAACAAATTACATGTGTACAAACATCAGAACTCCAAAATATATGAAGCCAACAGTGGCAAAACAAACAGTTACACCATAATACTTGGATACATGATGTCCTACTTTTAATAATGGGTATAAAAACCAGAGGGAAACTGAAGAACCAAGACTTGAGCAACATTATAACCTAGAAGAACCTAACAGACACACAACACTCCAACCAACAGCAGCAGAATACACGTTTTTAAAAAAGACTATTTTATACCACAGAACTAGTTTTTGTATGATTTTATTATTTTTAAGTTTATAAAGTGTCTTTTCTTTTCTTTTTGAGACAGAGCCTCAAGCTGTTGCCCTGGGTAGAGTGCCGTAGCGTCACAGCTCACAGCAACCTCCA